TGTGCGTGTCTAATTCATGCAATAAAGCTGCAGACAGGTGAACAGTGAACACTATGAAAAGAAGCAAAGCAGGTGTTGAAGTCCAACTACCTGAACTGAGTGCAAGTCATGAGCAGGACTGCAGACTTTGGGTTACTCAGACCAGTCAAAGTCCTACACACTAGATGACAGAATAACAATAACATGTTGAATAAACAGACTTCATCACTCCCAAAAAATGCCTTTTAAGATCCACACACCAATAAAATATCCCCAAAAAGGCAGAGTGAGTATTGCATTTGAACCAAAAGTGAAATGTAGAGCATGTACAAAATGCACAGAGCTGTAAAATTGTCCAAGTTCTCTCCACTTTGCCATTTGTTAACTTACTAACTTGTTAGTCATTTATATTAGTTCACACAAACACTCCATCCATCTGTTCCTGGCCCGGCCCCTCTGTCAAAGTTTAGAACCCATTGTGGCCAGCGAGTCAAAAAGTTTGCCCACCCCTGCCATAAATTGATTCTCTAAAATCCTTGAGTAGGACCAGATGTTGAAGAATGCATAATGTTTCATTCCTGTATTTATGGTACTCTTTGTTTGGTTACTTGTAGAAGTGTAAGTGTACAGGATATCTACTTCTTATTCTTCTAATGAATGTCAAGCACTTTAAAGTGTGATACTGCCCCCTTTTTATGTTACAGGCAGGTGTAACATCAGGTGTTTGTATCTTAGGTAGACACCTGTCTTTTTATCTTAAGTAGATGGGACACCTGTGTTTGTGTCTCAGGTAGATGTTACACCTGTGTTTGTGTCTCAGGTAGATGTGACACCTGTGTTTGTGTCTCAGGTAGATGTGACACCTGTCTTTGTGTCTCAGGTAGATGTTACACCTGTCTTTTTGTCTCAGGTAGATGTTACACCTGTCTTTGTGTCTCAGGTAGATGTGACACCTGTCTTTGTATCTTAGGTAGATGTGACACCTGTGTTTGTGTCTCAGGTAGATGTGACACCTGTCTTTGTGTCTCAGGTAGATGTGACACCTGTCTTTGTATCTTAGGTAGATGTGACACCTGTCTTTGTATCTTAGATAGATGTGACACCTGTGTTTGTGTCTCAGGTAGATGTGACACCTGTCTTTGTGTCTCAGGTAGATGTTACACCTGTCTTTGTGTCTCGGGTAGATGTTACACCTGTCTTTGTGTCTCGGGTAGATGTGACACCTGTCTTTGTGTCTCAGGTAGATGTGACACCTGTCTTTGTGTCTCAGGTAGATGTGACACCTGTCTTTGTGTCTCAGGTAGATGTGACACCTGTGTTAGATGTGACAACTTAGGTAGATGTGACAACTGTCTTTGTGTCTCAGGTAGATGTGACACCTGTGTTTTCATTTCAGGTAGATGTTACACCTGTCTTTGTGTCTCAGGTAGATGTTACACCTGTCTTTGTGTCTCAGGTAGATGTGACACCTGTCTTTGTGTCTCAGGTAGATGTGACACCTGTCTTTGTGTCTCAGGTAGATGTGACACCTGTGTTTTAATTTCAGGTAGATGTTACACCTGTCTTTGTGTCTCAGGTAGATGTTACACCTGTGTTTGTGTCTCAGGTAGATGTGACACCTGTCTTTTTGTCTTAGGTAGATGTTACACCTGTGTTTTAGTTTCAGGTAGATGTGACACCTGTCTTTTTGTCTTAGGTAGATGTTACACCTGTGTTTGTGTCTCAGGTAGATGTGACACCTGTGTTTGTGTCTCAGGTAGATGTGACACCTGTCTTTGTGTCTCAGGTAGATGTTACACCTGTCTTTTTGTCTCAGGTAGATGTGACACCTGTCTTTGTGTCTCAGGTAGATGTTACACTTGTCTTTGTGTCTCAGGTAGATGTCACCTGTCTTTGTGTCTCAGGTAGATGTGACACCTGTCTTTGTGTCTCAGGTAGATGTGACACCTGTCTTTGTGTCTCAGGTAGATGTGACACCTGTCTTTGTGTCTCAGGTAGATGTGACACATTTCTTTGTGTCTCAGGTAGATGTGACACGTGTCTTTGTGTCTCAGGTAGATGTGACACCTGTCTTTGAGTTTCAGGTGAATGTAAAATGTGTGTATGTGTGTCAGGCAGGTGAGTCAGAGGGAAGCAGAGGATCTGGCGTCCTGCTTCAGCTGTGTGTTCTTCGAGGTGTCGGCCTGTCTGGACTTCCTGTCTGTGCAGCACGTCTTCTTTGAGGCAGTGAGGAGGGTGAGGAGGGGACGTGGTCGCCTGGTTCCCGCGGTCTGCATCAGCGAGGACAGAGCGCTTCTCCCTCCCTCCTCCTTCTTCACCACCCCCTGCTACAAGGAGCTGCCGGCCCCGACCACCGCCAAACTGGTCACAGTGAGGACTTCCAGAGCTCAGAGCAAACGCAGAGCCACCACGCTCACCCTGCTTAAAGGATTCAAGATCTTCTGACCGACGGGATACAGACTAAACTGAGTTGATGACAAACAGATGTGTACTGTACCAGACGCTCTCTAATGATGGACCATCTCAAACGTCTGAATCATTTACATCTACTGTCTGTAAAACCAGGTCTTAGCTTTAAACACTGCAATACCCAGAAGTCTTTGCCTTTACTGCACAATGACACAAAGTCAGCTGCAGGCACCAATTAGAGACATTGCTAAGACAAACCACCTGCTAAATGCTGTCATACTTTTTTGCCATGGTTTCTGATATTAAGCTTAAAACACCACACTCTCTACCTACAGTACGAATCACAACTAACACGCTAAATAATCTGAAACTCCTCAATTGGATGTTTCTTGCTCTCCTTTCCCATCTAAATTGAACATTCAGAGCCTGGTCTCCTTCACCTCCTTTTATTAATAAAGTGTTCCACTGACCGCCCATACAGGCCTTGTGAAATTCATGTAGGACTGGATTTGCATCATTTTTCTATTCGTAGTTGGTTTCTGAATATGAATCTGTCTCACTCTTTTATCCATCCTGTATTAGAAGGGTGTTTCATTTGTTTGAACTTATCTGCCAAAATTGTACTGTATACAAATTGTATAGTATTTAAAACATATTTGAGCAAAGTTAACCCTTTGACTTGCATTGTAACCACGCGGTTGACCTTTTTTCTGCCGCAATATTGCTATTTTTAGAACTCTGAAAACCTATCTTTGGCTGTTTAACCTCATTCACCTCACTGAATAGTGTATGTAACCCTGATTATGTCCAATGGGTGGCGTTGCTGTACATAATTATCATTGTCTGAAAACTGTGGAAAATATCGGGAGTGACTCAGCACAGCTCCTCAGAAATCTCACAGAACAAGAGCAAATGTCTGGGTAAAAAAAAAAAAAGATTTTCACATATCATTTATAGACCCTCTAACAATCATAATTTAGTTGAAGGAAATAAATTTGACAATAAAATATATATCTACGATTCCTCAGAAAACGTTGTTTACCGTGAGTTGCCAGTCTACGCAAACGGCCTGGCTTAAGTCACTAATTTCTTATTTTGTTTACCTTTTCTAACCATTGCTACTCATTCAATTTGTTAAATAAATTATTTTGGGTTATTTTAAAATGTTCTGCTCTCTGTGATGTTTATATATGAAAAAACATTTTGTTGCAGAAATGTAAGAAATCCATTCATGCCCAAAGTAACCCAAACAGGCAACCAGCTGGTTGACCTGCATATCTGCTTTCTGATTGGGTAATCTGAAAAATATAACCTGAAATGTTGTTTAATGAAGAGGCAGGAACACAATTTTACCAAAAAATATTTTTTGGAAAATGGATTTCTTACTGTGGAAGTCAAAGGGTTTTTAATGAATGAGAACTAAAAGAGGACTTAAAATAGAAAAATGAAGTGAGTAAAGGAGAATGAGAGAAAAGATAAATTGCATAAAGATGTCATGTTTTCAAACTGGTTTCATTATAAATACATTAAATGTATAAAACCATTTTATATGTTCTTATCTTTATCACTTTCTTTACCGACTCCATCATTCAACACAATTTTACTCTTCATGGGATGGTACACTGTGATGTGACAGAACAAAAGTGAACTATTTTTAAGTCAAAATAGTACATGTGTACATTTAAAGATAGATTTATAGAAATATAAAAATAGTTCTCTCTCTTATTATTTGTGTAATAACAAACTAACAAGCATTAACAGATTTAAAATGAGTTCTACAGCTTGATGAAGTTTAAGGTCATCATTTATGTAGCGTTTGGTTGAGTTTAATGTGCACCAGCTACTGCAGAATTTAAAGGAATACTTTACACTGTGATGAATAAGAATATTGACCGCTGAGACATTGATGACGTGCACAGACATTTTCTCAAGATCATGAAAGTTAAGACTTTATCACTGGAAAACCAGCGTTGTAATGCTGAGATAGCGGGATAAAAGAAGATCTCCAGAAAACAGAAATGTTCTCATTATCACTTGAACATTTTGTATGAATTCTTTCTGTATAAATCATTTGAAACATTGTTGTTGTTGTTGTTGTTGTTGTTGTTGTTGTTGTTGTTGTTGTTGTGTAAAGGTTGCCAAATAGAATATGTTGTGTAAAACGAGTGGGCATAATAAGACAAAGCTTCAGCCCACACCTTTAAATTCCACATTGTAATTGTTTTGCAAATATGTGTTTTTGTCGGGGAGAAATGTTTAATTCGGACCGAAATAAACTACAACTGAACTGAGATATTTGACCCCATGTCCCATCTGTTGCCGTCACTGTTCAAGAGCACTTCGTTCGTCAGTTTTATTATACAGTTCAGAACCAACGTAAAGGAAAACTTTCAAACCTAGAGATATCTTGATCAAGGTAAGTGAGTTTGACACGGTTCCTGGAGAAGGAGTCGACTGTAGCCCAGCTGTGTGAGAGTCCAGGTGATGATAGAAGACAGACAAGGTGGTGTTTGGTTATTGATCTGGAAGGCTGACAGTAAGTGTGTTTTAACAATTTGAATTAAACCAGATAATCCTGCAGATGTGAAAATGAGCTTCAGTCTGAACACAGGTTTAAGCAGGGAAATGTTGATTTATTACTTTGACAAGCACTAACTCTGGACAAAGGATATGATTAGAAGAATAACGGCAAGTAACTCATTTAAAAGAAAAATATATATAAAACAAACAGCAAATCCTTTTAAGTGTCAAACTAATGTATTCTCCACAGTGAATGTGAACCTGAGGTTTTCGTGGACTCACAAAGATGATTCTTTGCAACTTATTAGCATTAGCAGCTAAAATCTGCAGATAAATATTCCAACACATCTATAATCTTAACTCTTTACTCCTCAGCCTTTACTGGCTCATCAGGAACCAATTTATCGGCTGACACCTCCACATGTTGCTCCCCTTGTTGCTCCACTTGTTGCTCCACATGTTGCTCCACTTGTTGCTCCACATGTTGCTCCACTTGTTGCTCCACTTGTTGCTCCACTTGTTGCTCCTCCTTCTGCTCCTCCTCTGGGTCTGAGTACAGGCAGGAGGTATTTCCGTCCCTCCATGTGACCACTATGCTTCCTGCTTTGTGCTCGCTCAGCTCCCCATTGGACGGTGGGGGTTTGTTCCCCTGCTGCAGCCTGTTAGGTGAAGGAGAGGTTTTACTGCTGCTGTCATCACCGATCGCTGAAATAACCTGGAGCTGTTCCCTCTCACTCATCTGAGCCAGAGCGGCTGCGGCTTTGTACTTTGCAATCTTCTTTCTGTTCCTGCAGGGCAAAAGACAAGAAACTGTATTTTTCAGCCGCCTTTTATATAGGTTCATTTAAAAAAGTGTAGAGGGTCGTATTTACTCAAAATGGACTGCAACCGCTAATAGCTCCAAAAACTGTGAATCATGTGCTCCCCCAGGTCTTATTTACAAAGAATATAGCATTAATGTGTTTGTCGCAAACATGCCTAAATAGTTGTCCTGCTCCGTGCTATTGTTTTGTATTTGAATGTGGAGAGAAGATACCTTCACCTTTACTCTGCACAGAGCTCTCAAGATGACAAAGCTCAATTCAGTCCACACAAAAAAATGATGGGAGGGGAAACGAGGGGCAGTCACCACCAACTCTCGGCAGGCGATACATTTTAAACTGCCGAGAGCTGGTAGTGACTGCCCATAATGCCTCCATTTGCCTAAATTTGCCCAAACGGCACAGCGACGCTGTTTGCTCTGCAACGTAGTCAGTGGTGGACTTAACCCTTTGTTTGTATGTTTTGTGCATTAGATGGCATAATTTGCACAGGTTTAGCGGTTGCAAAAGCAGCGCAATCCTTTTGTGAATCCGACCCTCACTGTTAAAGATCAGGGGCGTACTTGTTGGCCATTGCTCCCATCCCTAGCAGTAGAAAGCCGACAAGCAGGCAGACAAAGGCAACACCCAGCAGCACATAATTCCAGACGGTCGCTGCAACCAAACAAGACAAAGATCTGTTAAACACACAGCTTATACAATAAAACAACAGGACTTTTCTATGATCAGGTTTTTTAAAATACCCATTTGTACCATATTTTTGAGTATCCTGCTTATTGTCAGATTTTCTGTGTATCCTCTGTATTTTCTGGTTATGCTCAGATTTTAAAGTGTCTCACAAGGTATGGAGCATCTTATATGGTTGTATATAAACATCTGATCCTGCTTTTAGAAACGTGAACATGCTGACAGGATCCTGTGTATAGTCTTTCAGCTAGCAGTCGGAGTTACGAGTTAATTTAAATTCTGTTCTTATGTGATTGGCTTTAGTGCTGATGTTTGAAACATTTAAAAGGAATATATATCAATTCACACTTTGAGACAAGCAAATACACATTTAATAAAACTGTTATATAGACCTCAGTGTCTTGATTACCATTCTTTACATTTTAAAAAAATTTTCATGTTGGCTGTTGTATTGTGGGCGGAGCTTAAGCAGCAGTACTTACGGTCCTCTGAGCGGTAGAACCAGCGGAGATACTCTCTCTCTTCCTCCGTCATGGCCGCCCTCTCACCTGTCTGATCACCATTTGCCTCAAACTCATCAGGTTCAACAGACGCCCTCTTTGATCCTGAACAACAAACAAACAGAACACAGAGTTCCCAAATAAACTAAAATACATAGATTTTGTTTACCAAGTTCATTGATCATGTTGTACAGTCAAACATTGGATAGTTCCTGCGTAACCAACTTAGGTTTAATAATTTCAACAAAGACAGATGAAGCCAATGCAACTGCAGTTCTTTGAGTGTCCACTTGAGGCTGGCTGCAAAAGCCCTGGAAGTCATCTTAACACCCATGTTAAAATGGCCCATAATGACATGTTACAGCCTGGTAAATAAAACAAATCTGATATGAACGTCATGTCTTTATCGGCACACACTGTATGGCACGTGATTTAAAAAAAACTAATCTGTATTGAATTTATGAAGGATAAGAGTTATTTATAATTAGGGGCAATCAGGCAGAATGTACCTGTTTGCAGGGAGGCTAAGGCCCCATCTGTTCTACCTCTTTCTATGTTACTACATTGACAGTTAGGTTAAGACAGCAATTCCAACATGGCGACTGCCGTCACTGGGTATCAAAATTCCCCTTCAGTAACCAATGGGTGACATCACTGAGACTACGTCCATGTTTCATCCAGTCTATGGTGGAGACCAATACAGAGCTCAAAGAGAGACCTCACCGGACACAAACACTCAACGAATTTTGAATGTGCATGAATGGAATATTATTAAATGTAATCCCATCGGTCACAATAGTGACCGTAAAAATCCTTTTCAGTGAAAAGGTGATAAAAATGTTACTGAATGTTTTTTCAATGCATTTCCAATAAACATTGAAATAAAACCTCTCAATGTCATTTCTGCATTGTCAGATGTGTAGTGTAAATTGCCACGTGACCTGAGCTGTTCACTTCCTGTTTGCAACTTTAGATGATGATGGCTGCATCAAAGTAAATATAAAGATAACAGAAATGTTTTTGGTACACATCATCTTTTAGATGTCTAGTATTGATGTAACTTTGCTTTTTGTGATCACAGAATGAGTAAATGTTTTGACCCAGTGGGATAACACAGTGTATCTAGGTGTGCACATACTCACATAAATATAAGGAGTTCTTGTCCTACCAAACTATGTACTCTGTTCTTTCTTTTAGTTTAACTTTGATTGAAATTCTGAATATGCTGGACCTAGGAGACCATCTAGATAAGGCATTCAATATTGTGATTGTCCCTCATAATGACAAAGATGCTGTCGTCAGTGATTGTGATAGCGATGGGTCTGATATGGACTATGGGGGAGAGACAGGCCATTTACCAGCCAAGCTGTTGAGTGCATGTTCTGAACTGATGCAAAAAGAAAACGAAAGAAACAATGAAGATGACTGCCCCCCCACTACTATCACATCTCTACCCACCATTGATATCAAAGAGTTAGGGATGTCTACCCCTAAGAGGGTCCAGCCAGAAGAGCCAGGGGCCTCTCCCTGCCAGAGGGTGCAGTCAAAAGAGCCACAGGCCAATGTGCAGGTGATGAAAAATAAGGACAGAGTGTTCAAACGATCTAAGAGACCTACCACAGCTGGGATTCCAACACACACAGTATACAGCCCAAATGCTGCAGAATGTGTAAAACAAAATCTCCCCAACCCAATGGATATTTTCCTACTATTGTTTCCACCCACCCTAAGAGAGCTCACCGTTAAAATGTGGAAGCTCTACTCCACCCAGACCAAGGACAAGCAATTGTATCTGAATATGGATGAGCTCCTTACATTCTAGTGAATCCTGATCACATCCGGTTACAGCTCTGTTTCAAGAAGACACATATTCTGGTCACTTGACAGTGATGTACACAATAAAAATATTTCAGATGCAATGCAAAGAAATCAATTTGATGACATGATGGCCTCAATTCATGTGGTTGACAACACAAAAATCACTGATTACCCATTTTTTAAGGTTAGGCCCATCCCGTTCTTACAAAACCATGCCATTTCAGGAATGGCTGTCAGTAAATAAAAGTATCATCCCATACTATGGCTGCCATGGATGTAAACCATTCATAAAGGGTAAACCAATCCTTTTCGGTTACAAGCTATGGAGCCTTGCCTCATCCAGTGGTTACATGAATCACATGGATCCCACAATCTCCTCCCTGAGACTGGGTTGGCTCAGGGACACAGTGTTGTCCTCAGTCTTGCAGATCAAGCTCAGGTGCCACAAGGACGCAAATTCTTCCATGACAACCTCTTCAACTCACTAAGTCTCCTTGATGAAAGGACAAAAAGTGGATTTGGGAGCTCTGGAACAATAAGGCAAAATTGTCTGTTTGATGTCCCATTCAAGTCACAGAAGGACTTCAAGAAGTTACCTCGGGGAACCTCTGAGGTTCTGACCCAAGGAGAGAAGATGCTGGTCCGTTGGAAAGACAATAATGTTGTCACAGTGGCAACAAACATGGAAGAGAAATGCAGTGAAACCTCTGTCAAGAGCTAGAACAAAGAGATAAACAAATACAATGAGCACATGGGTGGTGTTGACCTTCACGACCTACAAGTTTCAAGATTCCATGTTTCAATCAGGTCCAAGAAGTGGTGGTGGCCTTTCTTTTTGTGGTCTCTCAACAGTGCACTTGTAAACAGCCATCTCTTTTACAGAGATGTTATTGGAGGGACCATCGACCTGCTGACCTTCTCACGAGAATGTTGCAGTCTCTTATGCAAAAGTTCTTCCATTGAGCCATGGAAGGACATCTCTTCTGGCCATAACAGTTAAAGATCAGGCAAGATATGACAAATATTCTCACTGGCCAATCAACACAATGCAGCGGTTCCACAGATGTCGATATTGTGACAAACGCACTACATGTGAAAAATGTAAAGCACCACTGCACATTGAGTGCTTAATGGGCAGTAGAAAAAAAAACAAGAGTGAAGAAAAAGAGCTGGAAAGTCAAAGAAGAAAAATCAATGGAAAAAGTCAGCATGAGGTGATGTGACAGAGTAAGGAAAAAGTTGACAAAGACAAGCATTGTTTCTAGAAAAGAAGGTCAATTGATGACAGTAGGTTTGATTTATCATTGTTCAAAAGTGTGATCCACATTTGCACTTGGTTCTGAGGCCTAAATATATGTAAAGTTTTAGTTCCGTTTAGGCCTTTAGTTGAATGCAGGCTGCCTCTATCCTGAATGACCTTCATGTTCTATGTGAATGTTGCACTAAAATGTTAAATTACAATGTTAAAATGAAAATTGCACTAAAGTAATGTAGCACTAAACAACAAGTTCAATACATGTCACACCTAATAACAATGTTATGATAAAGAAATAAGGTGAGAAAACATGAAAGGTGTCATCATTTGCAGTGTTCATATCAAAGGGTTTTTTTATTTGTAAGATAGTCCCGATGCACTTGATAAAGCATTATAGTGGCCGTGTTTGGGATTGCTAACAGTTTTAGAAATGTTAAAACTAAGATGGGTAAGAATTTCAATGACTGCAAAGAAGGAAACTGGTTAATTTAGTTTACACATTATCCCATTGTGAGCGATCATGAATCCCACTTTTTCACCCACTTTCCCATGAAAAAGAAAATAAATAATGATTGATTATTTCAAAGGGTTACTAATGACACATGATTTATACATTATTATGTCTGAGAAAAACATTGGGATTTAGTGGTTAATGGGCAATAGGCCCTCTTCACGTAGCAGCCTCTACCATCAGGGTATGATTGTGATGTGAATGGGTAAATGTAGCGTTAAAGCACTTTGAGTGATCAAAAGACGGATAAAAAAAAATGGTAAAGTTTACTGTGTGACTGCATCAATCTGTATACCGTGTTAAACTATTCTGTTCCTAATAAACATACTTTTACCATTACAACTGTACAATTGTAGCCAGCTGTCACCAAATCTTTTTACTGATTGTTGTTGTTGCTGTTTCTGTTTGTTTGTCTCATAGACTGTATTAGTCTATGGTTTGTCTCGTTCTCTCTCTGTTTCTCTGAGTCTGACACAGTCTCAATCGATGGCTGTTCAACATGAGTTCTGCTCCAGGTTTGTGCCTGTTCAAAGTTTTCACTCACAACAGTTACTTTGCTAATTGAAGGTCTATTAATAATATAACAAAGAGCACAGTCTATGCCTTTTTTGTATTGTCTTGAGATAACAATTGTTTTGAATTGGCTCTTTACAGATTAAGTTTGATTGATTTTAAACCTCCCCCTGTCTCTGATATTGACTTACGTAGTCTCTCCTGGCAGATGTCTCCTCCATCCAGAGACCTCCACCTGGACTGTTTGCTGTCCTGTGAGAGTACCAGACGCCGACCATCGACGGACAGCAGCATGGAGGAGTTCCTGCTGATCAGTCTGTCCTTGTCACAGTCCCACAGTAACCCTGCTGAATCTGACCCGCTGCAGGACAAGGTCCGGAGAGGTCCTGGCTGCAAGTCCGACAAACATCTGGACGATGCCACATTCATGAGCATGCTCTGATCGATCCAGACCCACTGCTGAGACTCTGAGTCAAGGTCACACCTCCTGAGCAGGACCTCCCCTGAAGCTGCTGAGTCCTCCACACACAGGCTGCGTATGGTGTTATGGACCATGAAGGCCCCTGCAGGAGCTATGACACACAACAGGTACATAATAATGCAAACATAAATCACACAGAGACACTCATGCATATATAAATATCATATAAATGTGTGAGTGTGAAGAACTCACCCAGTAGGAGAAGAAACCGTAACATCCTGTCAGCAAACATTTCTACACAAGAGGAGCAGATGTTTGAAAATCACACATAGTTCAACCTTTTCTCTTCAAACAGACGCACAGAAGACAGGCTCATTTCTCCTGATATGATAGTTTATATATTTATTTTATGAACTGAACGGAGGGTCCAGCTGGAGGTTTGAGAAATAAGGTTTGTCCTGGAGTTCCCGAAGGTTCATGCACTGCAAAAATCTGCTCTTAAAAGAAATAAAAGGAAATGAAACTGGTGAAAAATGACATAAAAGGAGAAGATAAAAATTAAAATCTCTCATTGAAAATATTCCTAAAAACATAATAACATCCACGCTTAGAAAAAGTAGATTTATGTGATCGGAAAGACTTGAAATATTTAGTTAATATGTTTGAAATGTGCTGAAAATGATCATCCAGTGATTCAACTTCAAATCAATCTCTGCACAGCTTAATGTGTCATTACTGCAGAGGCTTATTTATGGTGCGTCTAAAGGGACAAAATAGCATGCGATTAATCGCCATTGAAAAAAATGTATGCATTAATATCAGTCCTTATTTAATCTTGATTAACGAGTTAATGTTGAGAGACAAAGTCACATTTGAATATTTAGATAATTAGGAACTAACTGAAAAAACTGGTGAAATGTTGGACCATTACAAACTGCACAAAATTCCATCATGCAAATATTGCAGATATCGATTCCTACCGTCGTAGGCCACGTTAAAAAAATAAAAAATACAATTTACAAGATTAAAGTGGTAAATTTACGAGAATAAAGTCGTACATTTACGAGATTAAAGTCATAAATTAACGAGTTCGAGACTAGCCTGTGCGAAAATGATGAAAGTAGAACTCTTAAAGTCTTTAAAGAATAAAAGAATAAAGTCATTATTTTAGTCTATATCAGAAGAGCAGCAGCATCTTGTTCTCAAATGCCAAACATGGATCATCTTGTCCTAAAGGTTACACTAATAAGGAAATAGGCTACTTCCTTGTGTAGTCGGTAAAAACAGTTCAAGAGAAGTTTTCACTTCAACTTGGAAGACCTTGTTTATCTGTAAAATGATGAACAGGACACAAACTGTCTCTGCACATGAGACACTTTAACAAGGCAGACCGATAACAAACACAAATAGTTGTGTTGGGGCTTTACTTATGCAGATATGAAACTACACATGCTTTTGGCACATCATCATCTTCACATTGTCATAAAATATCAGCACCCTGAAAAGATACTGCAAGAAACTGAAGAAAGAACCACACTGACTGGGAGGAAGTTGTCTGCAGAGGAAAATACTAGTTCTACTCATTTTGCGCAGGCTGGTCTCGAACTCGTTAATTTGCAAGATTATTCTCGTAAATTTACGAGTTTAATCTCGAAATTTAAAAAAATATATTTTTTTTTTAATGTGGCCCTAATCCTCCGTCGTAGATACCCAACTGTTTAATGTTGATTTAATAAAGATCGTTGATTGATTTTAGTTGTGACCTCTGATAATTTTTTTTTTTTTACATTTTAAGATATTTATCCATTTTATGAAACAGATGAATGTGTTTAAACTGAACATTATAAAGACAATATGTCGTTTTGAGCCAGGGTACACAAACTTTGCCATGCCAAGGACCCCTAGCCTCTGACAGGGACCCCTTCTTGTAAAATTACTTAAGTTCCTTGTTCATTCTGATGGCAGATATAAAAAACCATTAGACTATTACACGTTTCCTTATCTTTGTTAAATATTTATAATCTCACCATGCATCCGTCAAAGATTGACTGAAAGGGACACAGAATTCGATAATCAGGGTCTAAAAGCATCGAAAAGCAAATATAATAGAAGTTGATTTTTATTGTTTCTTATATCCCCCCCTCTTCCCTCTAAGTTTCGATAAAGGTTCTTTCACCCCCACTTTGACATTTTTACATGTATGAGGACGTGTATAAAAGTCTATGTATTTGATTTATGTGATGAGGATAGGTAGATGAGGTTGTCAGAATTGATACTTTTTTGATGCCATGTGTTTAAAATGAGACCGTCTTTGTTATTTTAGAAGCTTTAAAAAACAACATATATTGCAGAAGACAAGTCAAGTGTGTAAGAGAGGATTGAGTCCACTAAACATGCAGGCAAAGTCTGATTTGCACAAAATTGCACAAAAAAACCAAAAAAAAACAGGAAAGTGTTCTTTGTGCAATTTTTACAGGCAAGACCTTGAACCTTGGACAGCTTTAACCACCTGCTGACCTCACACTGATGAAGAGCACTCAGGTGAAACGCTCTGACTGAAGCTCGTTTACAACATTTTTCACAGAAAGGACTAAAACACCCAACAGATAAACTATGCTCAGTCCGTGAAGCAAACACTCACTACTACATATATTCTGATGTTCTTCATATATGAACAGAGGTATTTATGAGAACCTGTACTCACCTGTGTGATGCTACGTGTGTGTGAGAGTCGAGGAGGATGGTGTGACTGTCCAACACACACAAAGATCTACAAACCTCATTAGAGTACGTTCAAAGGTCAGGGGACGGAGTCTCCAGCAGGTACTGTATGTCCACCACTGTTAAAACTGATGGTGACACACACACACACACACAAAATTATACAAGCACAAACACACACAGACCCATGCACACACACACACACACACACACACACACACACACACACACACACACACACACACACACACACACACACACACTGAGCTGTTGTAAAATGTGTAAAAGTTTTATTTCCTTCAGAGTCTTTAAATCAGAGTTCAGCCTGCTCTGTGTCTTTGACCCCGTTACCATGGTTACTGTTTAGACAGCCTCACAGTGGCCTTGTCTGTGTGTTTGATAAGAGACGTGACTCATCGGTCATACACACACACACACACACACACACACACACACACACACACACACACACACACACACAGAATTGGACTTGTCAACAGGGAGTGCAGGGTGAATAACCTCTGTGTCAAAGCGTGCAGATCAATCAGTTGTTGTTCTTTTATTATTGTATATTTATTAAGATTAAGACATCAAACCTTATGTTTATCACAGATCAAAACGTCATCATGCTTTGTTACAGTCTCACTGATGGTTTTGTCAATTCTTCTTTGGCTTAAAGCAGCAGGACTGTTTGTAAAACAGAATCACAGCCCCGCCTGCTGGACACTCTGATGTACTGCACCACAGAAACAATAAAATGCGGACGTCTGGGCCAGAGGCAAGAGAGTGAAAATCACTTAATTTCCCAGACTAGACCGAGACCTTCTAAAAGTTGTCTCAAGTCCGATCTCAATCTCCAGGAGGATAATATAAGATATTACTTTAAGTGTTGGTTTGTGGTGTTTGATGAACCTTGTTTATTCTACAATCATGTTGTGTGAATGTGTGTAGTCAGAAATATTGATCCTGTCACATCCTCTGTCATCACTTTCATCTTGCCCTCATGTCTGCTCTTGCTTGTCTGTCACCCCCTCCTCTCCCTCCTCTCCCTCCTCTCCCTCCTTTGCCATGTCTTTATGACAACATGTACATTAGTCTCAGATCTTAAATCCTCCCTGTGCTCTGCTCCGCATAGATTCTCTCCTCAGTATGATTCAGATCTCACCATCTCAGACACATTTCTATTTTTTCCTGCTCCTTCCGCTGCACACAGTTCATGAATAAATCAAAAGGTGTTTCCTTCTAGATATGTTTTTATTTTATTTTATTTTTTTACAATTTACTTATTCCATGGCGGCTTAGGCAGAATCGTTCCATCCTATTATGTTTTCACACCTGCAGAAAGAGTTTTCATGGCGAGCTGCATGTGTGAACACAAAACAACAACTTTTTCACTCCAGCTTTACCTGGACTTTCTCCTGCCAGCCCCTCTAGTAAATAAATGTTCCACATGAAGCCAGGTTGAGCAAAGTAGCAGGAAATATTTCGCAAAAAATTGAACAGCAGGAAGAGGTGCTGACATTTATTTCCTACGACCGGGGTGTAACCATCACATTTATGAAACTGATTATATTTCCGGTATCTTCTTCTCCACTATTTTGTAGATAAGTCAAACTACACACAGCTTTGTCCTTTCTTTTTTTCAGGTATTGTCTTCTACTGTGAGGAAAATGTGTGAACAACTAACCCCAGAAAGATTACAGGGGCTTTCTGCCTGACATTTTCTAGCAATGTTCGGGAGTGCATATGTAAAAATGGCTCTAGAATTTGAACGAGTGTAAAAACGGTTTGACATTGTTGGGTTGTATCAAGTCAACTTTGGTTATATTCTTTAATAATATATTTAATTATTATAATATAAATAACAATATCATTAAACTATGTTTAATCTCTCTTGGGGCACCACCCTATAATTATTAAAGAATATAACCAAAGTCGACTTGATATATCCCCAACATCATCATCTAATCCAAAAAACGAAATGACAGATTATTTGTCGATATTTACATCAAAAAAGGCTCCAACTGCTCAAAAACTGTCCAGTGATGAGTCAGTGACTGAGTGAGCTGAGCAGATGCCAAGCTAACAGGAAGCTGCTCCCACTTGTCACTCAAGGAGACCACGCCCAATACCTAATTCATCTTCATCTTGAATCATTATGTGATGTATTTTGTGGTCTTTTGCCCGATCCTAGTCTCCAAATTTACAGACTTCAAGGCATGTTTCAGATAAGTGTGTAACCCCTTGTGCTGGGTGTGTAACCCCTTGTTCTGGGCTCTGATGTAGACTTTACAACAGTAAAGACTTCAGTAACAATAAAAACAAAGTTAAAAAAATAAAAACTTTAAACGTAAATAAAACAAGCATGGACCTGCGTGGACGTTTCTCAGGGATGACCACATTTAGTGAATTGTTGGTGACAAAACAAAGACTTGTTTGTGTTTATCGATTAAAGATTGAATTAACATAAAAAAAAATCTGAAGACAATAAACACTGCAATGCAACACACAATAATAATACACATAAGTTTTATTCCTGGTTTTGATTGGCTCCTACCCTGCATACCTGACAACATTACAGTCTGTGTGTTAGGGCTCAGTTCTCAGGCTTTAAGTCTAGGTTGGAATTCAGCCTGGTGGGATTCAGTTTGTGTATAAAACCTTCTGCTATGGAGCAATGTGGGTAAAAACAGCTAAAGAAACATGCTTTAAAAAACTGTGGTATGTGCTGTGAAGTCCTGGTATGTCTGACAAGCTGCCTCTAACACGCATGGAAGTCTACTACGTCATTGACACATGACAAATAATAAAAACACTGAAAGCCCCTTTTATTTGTTTCTGATCATTATTATAATTTTGTTCATCTACTGCAGTTAAAGAAGTGATGAAGTTGACATCAGTTTTCCTCTGGAGGGAGCCCTCGCCTGCTTTGAATGGAGTTGCATTAGATAGACTCTGTAACTTTGTGCTGATTGAAGGCGTCTGTATATTTAGAAGCTGAGCAGATCCCAGACTCTCACTCTTATAATTTAAACAGCTGTGAGCCATTGTGACTATTTGTGAACACAGCACTCTGCAGCTCAGAGAGGTTTTTATTCTGCTAAAATAACTATTTAAGTCCCTGTGTGTGTGTGTGTGTGTGTGTGTGTGTGTGTGTGTGTGTGCGTGTGTGTGTGTTTTCCAGTTGGATGCAGATGTTCTGCTTGTATCCTGAGGCGGCAGTGTTGACTCTCACCTTCTCTAAAAGCTTTCTGAGGTAGTTTGTCCCACCGAGGTGACTTCTCAGTCCCTCAGAGTCAGAGTGTCTACTCCTGAACCCTGCAGGTCTGCTGACTGCTGTGTCATGGGACATTTTCCTTATTCAATGTTGAACAGTGTAGAAGTTGTTTTTTAACCAATTAAAACAACACAGTATATAAAATACAAAGTTCCTAATCAAAAAACTAAAATCTTTCTAAAAATATACCTTTATATACCCAAATAAAACATGGAGATGTTGGCTTCGGTAGGCAAGCTAACGTCCACATGGCTTTTCTGGGTACACATTGCTCTGATGTTATGAGAGTTTAACCTGACACAGCCTATACAACTTAATCTACATTTTCTAGATGTAAATACTGCTGAACCACTCGGTGCTATGAGATGTAATCTGTGCAATGTGCTGCTTTACATACAGCTAGTAGTGCATTATGGCAGTATAGCAGTAGCCATAAGCAGGAGCTACAGCCCTGGCTAGTGGTTAGTGTCTTAGACCTCAGCTACAAATAACATCTGACCATCATTGTGGGCCTGAGTGAATAAAAATTTAAATAATTAGTTCAACTGACTGGTAATTTTGGTGCAGAGGACATCATCATCCTTGCAGATCTTTGGGTCTGGACACAAAAACTGTCCATGAGTCAGAAGGTTCATGTATGTGAATGTGCATGGATGTCTGTGGATATCTGAACAGTGTTGGTGTGTATCCCTCTGTGAGCTCAGTTGTGTTTAATAGAGGCTACTCAGAGGAGGAGAGGAGGCCGGCTCGTTGTGAATCCGTTCCTTTGAATTCTTATGAATGGAGCAGAAAGTGACACACAACTTCTGAAGTCTATAATTAACTCTAAAGGGATTAGTCTCCATTCGAGAGGAGGGCTATTAGCTCTATCTATCTATCTATCTCTCGCTCTCTCTCTCTCTCTCTCTCTCTCTCTCTCTCTCTCTCTCTCTCTCTTGCTCTCTCTCTATCTATCTATCTATCTATCTATCTATCTCTCTCTCTCTCTCTTTCTCTCTCTCTATCTATCTATCTATCTATCTATCTATCCATCTATCCATCTGTCTATCTGTCTATCTATCTATCTATATATCTATCTATCTATCCATCTATCCATCTATCTATCTATATATATATATCTGTCTATCTATCTATCTATCTATCTATCTATCTATCTATCTATATATATATATATATATATCTGTCTATCTATCTATCCATCTATCCATCTATCTATCTATATATATATATATATCTGTGGAATGAAACTTTGAATATATGGAATGAAGTCTGAATATATGGAATGAAACTTTGAATATATGGAATGGAACTTCGAATATATTGAATGGAACTTTGAATATATGGAATGAAGTCTGAATATATGGAATGGAACTTTGAATAAATGGAATGAAACTTTGAATATATGGAATGAAACTTTGAATATATGGAATGAAGTCTGAATATATTGAATGGAACTTTGAATATATGGAATGAAACTTTGAATATATGGAATGAAGTCTGAATATATGGAATGAAACTTTGAATATATGGAATGAAGTCTGAATATATGGAATGAAACTTTGACTATATGGAATGGAACTTCGGATATATTGAATGGAACTTTGAATATATGGAATGAAGTCTGAATATATGGAATGGAACTTTGAATGTATGGAATGAAACTTTGAATATATGGAATGAAACTTTGAATATATGGAATGAAACTTTGACTATATTGAATGGACCTTTGAATATATTGAATGAAACTTTGAATATATGGAATGAAACTTTGAATATATTTAATGGAACTTTAAATATATTGAATGAAACTTTGAATATATGGAATGAAGTCTGAATATATTGAATGAAACTTTGAATATATGGAATGAAACTTT